TGTACTTATTAGTAAATAATACAATTAGGAAGAAATTTAGTACTTAGTATCAATTAGAGCAGAGGTTGTAAATAACTCAGAGAATTTACGCAGAGATATCACGTTACGATTTCAAAAATATCATTGAGATAGATTCTCACTCTTTCAACAGCGCATATTATAAATTGTGCAAAGATAAAACCCTGCAAGCAATATTCTCTATTTAAAAGAACTCCGCTTACAAAGTGCGCTCTTGTGTTTATCCTGTTGAAGTCGGGTTATGTTCTCAAAGGACTGATCATAGGGTTGCCAGAACACTTTATGTTTTAAAAACCAACTAACCAACCTATATTATGTTAAAAAAGAAACAAAAAAAAGACGTGTATAGAGTGGGGTAAAAATTAATTACAAAAGTTATTCAGTAGAAAATAGCTCCTAGAAAACTTCGAAAAATACGAGAATGAGAAAAGACGTTTGAGCCAGTATTAGAAATAACATTTCACGAACGCTTTCTATTCTTTCAATTTAAATACGTATCAGTTACTGCAAAATTAGAACCAAGCTAGTTAATGCAAAATTTGCCGAATTTTCTTATAATTTATTGTATAATTTAAATATGACACGATTTAAAGTAGCCCCACAACCTATGTTTAAAAAAAATCTTTGAAAAAGTTGCGTTAAAAGATCTAAAGATTCTTAAATATTCTATGAAAGATCAACTTACAAGATGCAATCTACACCTTTAAAAATAGTTACCTTATTAAAAAAATTAAGACCGGATAGCACTTAAACATAGTGAAGCGTTCTTCGTAATAAAGACAAAGAAGAAAGATCATGCGTAAAAAAAAATTCATTCACAAATTTCTTTGTCCCTCAAATTCTTGGGTCAGGTAGCAGGTGCACGCTCAAATGGGGCGTCCCCGACGGTTTCCGATGTTTTGTTCCCAGATATGCGTGGTGAACGATAATAATATTTGTGGACCCTAGTCTCTCGTAAATGCTGAAAGGTGATGCGTGTTCAAACTTGGAAGTTTTACGAAATATGTTTATGAAAAGTGAGGGAACTTTACGGTAAAGGATTCCAATGAATATATTTTTCACATTTTTGGAGAATTTTCGCACTAAAAACTCCAAAAGAAGAGAAATACTATTGGTACTCAATTTAGATGCTGCAAAATCGCGGCCGTTCGCTTGATTAGTATTATACAAATTCAATTGAAGAGGAAGAATTTATTTCAAAAAGTTTGATATTATGTATGAGGAACTGTGTAGGCGATTGAAATAGTAAGACACGGGTCTTAACGCGACATTTATTAATAAGGAGTACATAATGTAACTCATTAAAGAACGTCGCGTTAAGACCCGCGTCTTACTGTATTATTTTAGTTGAAATGGAACGCGAAAGCTTAAAATCTTATATGTGTAGACGATTTCTAGCATCAAATTTTTGCTATTTATAGTTATAACAGAGTGTCCATTGATCTGGATTTAAGCCAGTTTTTCTTAAATAACAGTTACTTAATAGTATCATCATCGAATGATCGATTAAAAGACGGATTATCAAATCTGTCTGCAGACTGCACACTATCTATTCAATTACTTTTTATTACTCTGTTGAACGCATGAAAGGAAGCTCTGTAGATAACCACCAACAAAAGCACCATTGTATACGGTCACGCGATACGTCCACTGTCCTAGATAACTTGATCTTTTAACGACACTTTTAATGATTTAAATTATTTTGAATTGAATTTTTTGAACGATAAAGCAGTGTCGTGTTTGTATTTCTGTTTGTCTATGAGTAGGTTTACGATAAGTTAGTATCATTTACAATAATTAAAACGGTACTATTATAAAATAGTTATGGTCTATTTTGAACTTATCAGATTAATTTAATATTTATAGCATCGTAAAGTATTTTGAGTTTCATCATTTCGTTTCAGCCAAATGACATCCACTGCTAGACAAAGGATTTATATAGCGACCGGTCCTGCGCTTCCCGCATCCAAGTTCTTCCAGTGACCTTCACCAGATCGTCGGTCCACGGGTAGTGTTTTTATTATAATTTCATTTAAAGCTGCTAGCTAATGAAGGTTTTCCCAGAATCTTGTATTCAGTAAGTTTATTTCACTTACAAATAACATTTCCCATCATGCACGACAGGCTTCCCCCTAATGGGGGAAAATAAAATATTGTCGATATTGTCAAGATAAATCGTTACATGATTGGTCTGTGGATGAAGTCTTATTAGATAGATAAAATATAATATTCTAGCCTTAAGGTATGTTTAACAGAATCGCGGCGATTAACCGACTAATTTAAACAGCTCACTATTAAAACACTTCGTAAAACTGGTTCTTAAGATAAGCTTGATGATATAAATAAACTACCTGATGCTCACGACTTTGCACGCGTTGAACCGCATTTTTATAAAATATGGCAATAGATAGATAATTTTAAACCAACGGAAATTGCGGAGGGATTCTAAAAATCCGAAATCTTGTATCATTTTTCTTACTTAGGGAAACGTTGTGAATAATCCTTTTATACCTACGTTCTACGTAATAATAACCCATGTAGCTACCAAACACTCAATTGATAGATGAGTTAGTAAACTATGCAAGTATACTCAATCATTTATTGGTTCCATTATGAACTTAAAAGCTAGAACATTATGAGCACTGAACCTGGTAGGTAGGTAATATAGATAATCGAGTTTTATTTATAGACCAGCTTTAAACGAATATCATTAAAGATAGATATTTTACTGCCGGTTAAGTGTCATCAAACTCTCATCGCCATACAAATCCCGTTTCCCTGACAATCACTAATTTGTCTTGTCGATTCTTGGGCTATCAAATTCTAATTCCGTGGAAAGTTTTTGGAAGTGCTTAAATTCGCGGTTTCGCTTCCGTTGGGACGGAATGGTAAATATCCAATCATGCTGTGATAGCTCTGGTGATTCAGTTTGGGTTACTACTTTTCTTTGGAATGTGTTTCCGATGTAGTAAGTTCAGTGCTAATTAAGGTTTCATGATCAGTGAGCCCAAACAACTTATCGATTAACACTTTTACTAAGGAAAATAAGGTCTTTAACTTCAATGCTATCTTGGATTTTGCTTGCAATAATTGGTTTCAGTTAAATATATACTTGAGGATTAGTTACTTTGGGATAAAAACGTGTTTTGACTTTTGATGTAGGTATAAACTTTCATAATTCGGAGGTTCTGGGAGCAGTTCTTTCCATGTGAGACTGAAAAGTATTAAAGACTTTGCATTTTTGCACTTCACCAAGCACATTTCAGGCATAAATCTGTTAGATTGTCAGAAAAGAAAGGGGTTCGTGCTTGCAGGGCACATCCGATTGAGCCATGTCAGACAACTGCGTCAACTCGTAAGCCTAACAAGTAATTTTTAAAAGTCCGATTTTGATTTGTACGAAGAATCAATCGGTGCACTTTCATACATCTCCACTCCATACTTCTTAACAGTCAGACCCAACTATCGGCCAACTAAAACTCGGTGGTCTGCGCCTAGGCTTACGATGGATAAATAAAGAAAAATAGGACGCGCTTCATAATGAAACTGCACTTGATCCGTGCACCTGAATCAGAGTTCAACACCGCTCTCGAAACTTTGCAAGCGAGACGCCTCTTGAACAAGCCTGTTGTCTCTTTAGTTCTATAATGAGCCTGCTCCTCGTAGCTCCACAACGGCTCTTATAAAATGCAAATTCTCCTACTGACCCGTCAACCTAGATTCGATAAGGGGTAGAATTATTGCTCTTCCGAGAGACAGTTCGCGAATAAATGCTTCGTCGGATGTCGTGTTTGGACACAGAAATATGGTCTTCTTTATTAAGATGTTTGGGAGATTGATGATTAGATGTTTCCTCAAATACCTACAAAGAAGGCAAAGTTTGCAAACTTTGAAGGTCAAGGATATGTCCGATTTTCATTACCTTTAAGGTATTTGTCTTCAGGCAACTGTATTTTATCCTTGTCTGGGATATCGTACAGACAAATAAATTCTGAAGATATATCTTTGGGTTTTTCATAAGCTTGACTAGCTTTGGATTTAATCTCAGATTCATAGATTAGATTTTGTTTTGCTTTTCTATTGTTTTTTGTTTTCTTGGTAAAAAGAGATTTATACAAATTGAACATTTGCTGTGGGGAGTCGAGATTTATCAAATCGTAAATACCTCAACATGTTAGGAAATTGGATTGGAATGTCGCAGACGAATTTGTTTCGCTTCAATAATGTCAATCGGTACTTTATTAATATTTCTTTTACATTTAGAGACGAAAAGGTTTTGATTTTGCGAGAAAATGGTGGTAATGACATCACTAAACTTGGTCCAAGTAAAATAGGCACTTTCACATATCTATCGATATTAAAATAATATTAAATTACCTGCTATGACGCGTGACGCAGGGACTTTACTTAATTGTTTATAACTGATAATATTAACAATAATTTTGCCATTTTCCGGTAGGAATAACCGTGCAGAGCTAAAAGGTAGCCATTTTGTAATAATTTATGCTATTTTGAAATAAAAATATAAAAATATAGTCTGATCTGTCCTGTGAACCGTGCATTAGTATCTGTTAGTTATTTTTTATTACTATCCTTATGAAAAAAGTCCTTAGTTTCATACAGTTTCACAAAATTCGCTCGCACGATTTGGGCTTTATATACCTAAGTATGTATAAAATATGGTGTATGTTTGCTTCACGAAATATCTTCATTGCCAAATAAATCATTCGTTAAATTGTAACGAGTGTCACAAACATAAATCGTGATCCCATATCACGAATTACATTTGCGGCATTGGCTCGTATGATGCCGTCGAACTAGCGTAGCAACCTTCAAAACGTTAATGAAACCGAACAGCTGCTAAAGCTCTTAGAAACAGACTGGTCCTGTCTAACGTCTGTTGGCCATAAACAGCTGAAGGTCTCAATCAAAGACCGAGCACTGCGAGCTTCCAACCCGATATATACCAGGCTAAACAACACCTGGCTGCACTATTTATAAATAACACTGCACTGCACTTCGTATATCCAATCACCTTATTCAAATCATCGTTCAATAGGATACACTGTCTCCGAAAGCAATAAATTAACTGTCAACATAACCACACTTTCACTGTTTCGTTCCGCCAATTTTATAACACACTTTTGGGACACAAACCGACTGAATCAAATCGATTTTTGGCGTTACACTCGAAAAAACTAGTCCGATCCATTGATAAAAAGTTTGTAATAAAGTTTTGAACATCGAACGCACACACGAACTTCAAAACATAACTAACGTAACGTTCGCGTAAACAACGGCTGCGCTCCGAAGTTGGTGCGTTTGCGTCAACTGACGCAGTGCTGCCATATTGCAAGATGGCGGCAGTGTGGCCAACATGACGCGGCCTCGCGTCAGTCAACGGCCTTTGATGAATGGGGCGAACGAATGAACTTCGTCGAACCTGTTTGATGCGCCCGCGCTGGGACTCTCACGCAGAGATTGAAAGGAAAAAAACACGCGTGGTCTTACATAATGTATCGTATAACATTATTATCTCATTATAGACTGAAACATATTCATGCTGCTGTATTATTAATGTTATGGATGTGAGGACATTGTACCTAACTGTTAAGAAATATTGACTATTTATTTCTTATGAAGAAATAAATTTGATTTATAGTAAAATTCATAAAAGTATTTTTTCCACAAAAAGCGCGTTTCACGCTAGAGATTGAAAAAAAGATTTACTAAGTATACGAAAGCCATGAAAGGAAATTGAATACTGTGTTCAAAAACTTCCTAAGCATGTCCCTGTTTCCAGGAGCTCTTTTCCATTATTAGTTGCGGGAACTTTTGCCGAATTTATACGAAAACTTCGTTAGGAATTAGGCGAATAACTGAACAACAATTTGGATCCTGTCCTTGGAGAAATACCCATATATTAGTGCAACCCAGAGTTGCTTAATTTATTTATGGAATATTAAAATTGTAGGAATATTTCCTCATTTTCATACGCAATGTCTGTTTTTAAAGCATTCAGTTTTAGCGAACTGTAAATGACTGGCATTAAAGTTTGTGTATTTGTTCAAGTTGTTCAAAGTCCCAAACTTTTAATTGAAATCAAAAATACACTTTCCGTGTACTTAACACGTTCGTGCTCAACTTCGTATTGGTTTTCGTTTGATTAATTACCGAAAACTTGCAAACGCGGACAGGTTAACTGCGCGGTTTTAGGAAATTCCGCACTTTTTCTGCGTGTTATTCGTAACTTAATTTTTTAACTGATTTATTGTAACGGATTACAAAACGTTGCCTTTATTTCAAACTTACCCATCCGTTTGGTAAACGCAATTGGATCGCGTATTTTAAAAGTTTTGTGACATGCCGTGCCATTCAATTATAAGCTCCAGTTTTCAGGAAGAGTGGTAGCATTGGTAACTAATTTTTTAGAGACAAAGAATAATATTTCCCTCGCAATATCACAGAACTGTGACTCCGGTGTTTTATTTGGCCACTGTATTTCCCAAGTTACTACTTATAGGTTTATTTTTAGATTTTCATAACTTTCTTTATCTTCTTTCTTTCAATTCTAACTAAATAAATTAAAAATACTTGGATAGTTACAATATTTATTATTAGTAAGCCTTCATGTTTGTCAATATCATAAAAAAATAATTATACAAAAATAATTTGAAGTGAAGCAAGTCGTTGTTTTATGCAGAAATCACTTTACAGCATATCATCCAGAAGTGAACACTTTTACCGATTAGAAACAAAGTTATATTATCGGATTGCAACATACCATTACACAGTTTTTTTGTTACGTCTCGCTGTACTAATGCTGGTAGTGAAAGTGCTTGGGAAAACGTATTACGTGCTGTACAATTGTTTTCTGATAATTACCACGGTGAAAAAGTAAATACGGAAAGGGAGGGTCGATCAAACAATAATTGCAAAGTCCTCATGGTGAAATCGTTAGATAGTAATTCTGCCACAATAACTACCATAGTTATTAATACAAGCAGTAGTTTACGTAATATCTTCTGAGATATTCTACATTGTCAAATAAATAAGTTTTACACAGGGAAATGAATATAAGTTTGAATTGAAACTCCAGTCATTCATACTTCAGACTTTATAATTAATTATTTATTTTAAGCTCATAAAGCTACTATTTATGATTGGTCGAATTTTAATACTCAAACCAATGAGAGGATTGAATTATTATTGAGTTTAATTTTGTCTTAATTAGGCTGGGTTGCACCATCTTACTTTAACTTTGACAAACGTCAAAAATCTGTCAAACTCCATACAAAAAACACCGGTTATCATTAGTCACGGTCTAAGTTAGGTGATGCAACTCAGCCTTATGCCCGTTTTCACCATCAATCCTTAATCTTTAAGTGACCCCTAAGGTAACACATAACAGGCAGTTTGTTTTCATAGGGGTCACTTAAAAATTAGGGATATATGCTGAAAATGGGTATTAGTCTCGCTTCATACGCGGATATGACGTGTGTTCAGCAGTGGACATCATATGGCTGAAAATTATGAATGGAGCGATTATAAGTATCACGGCTTTGGTCTTCGTATTAAAAATATATTTTCCTACAGAACATTTAACGTAAACACTGCACTATGTAAATGAAGCTCAAGGAGAAATCTGATAAGTTAAAGTTCGGAATTCCTGCTACTAGACCGTGACATTTGCTGTGACACGTAATATTTTATCCCAAATATCAGCAAGTAGTCGTTTAACCCCGAAATTATACCTTATTTGCATAAAACTGTTCTATAATGCAGGAAGGGAGAGTAAGTCTATTCAGTACAAATGAATCTCAAAAATAGTAGGTACATAGATTGATTAGCCAGTTTAGTTATAAGATACGAGTATTTTCATAGATAGAAGTCATATCGCACTATCCAAAAGTTATTAGATCTCATGTAGAGTCAAGCTTAATGTCCGAAAGGCATTAAGTCCGCCTTATGTACACCGTTCTATGTGCATATAAGTTTTAAATAAATAATAATAATAAGCTTTTAACATCTCAATGTAACCTTGTTGGTGTTCAAATAAATAAATAAATCTACATGCCCTAGTAGAACTTATCAAAACATAAATGGCTCAGCAGTTTTTTTCTTGTTGTGTCGACAAAAAACCTACACAATGTCACAGTAGCCTTCATTAAATCATCCTGAGTGCAGTTGTTTCGACATCTTAACAGTTTCGTGACAATTTTTTTTAATGTGACGGATTTTTGTCTGTTATTTTTCTGATTTAGGCAGGTCAAATTCGTGCTAAACCTTCCGTTCCTTTTTCCTGTGTCCAAGGAGATAGTGAACGAAAGTTTCGATGTGATGGCGACTTTTTCATGATTTTTTTATTTTATTTGCAGGTTCTGTTCGAAGTGAGCCTTCTGTCCCCGTATCCCTTGTCCAAGGAGAGCCGCACGCGACACCAGGACTACGGCATTAAATCATGATGTTCACGCGCCTCAGTTACTTCAGCCCGAAAATTTTTCGCCGAATTTATTACCTGGAGCGTGTGAACTTTTTTATTACCGCCTCGTTTGTGCCGAAAATATGCTAATGACACACAATTGTGTTTTAAGGGACTAATAAAGTCGTCGGGAAGTATTGGGACCACATTTTTAGGAAATGTTTATCATAATTAAAGCGAACGAAGTTTACCAGCGATCAACCGTGTTTATTAGTAATATTTAGGACTAGCGGCCGCGCGACTTCGTACGCGTGGATCCCGTTTTACCCCCTTAGGGATGGAGTTTCATAAAATCCGTTCTTAGTGAGCATCTACGTTCTAAAAGGAACCGCCATGCAAAATTTGAAACTCCTACCTCCGTGCAAAATTTGAGGCTTGTAGTTTGTGAGATTTCGTAATGAGTGAGTGTGTCAGTCTTTTCGCTTTTATATAGATTAGAGATGATAAATATATACAGTGTGAGTCACGTTAAAGTGTACATATGAAAATAGATAAAACTAGACCTATTTTTATCGACAAAAAAGAGGACAAAATTTTTTTTAGATTTTTTTTAAAAATTTTATCTAATTTTTTTTCTTCCAATTACTTATTGTAAAGAAAACGTAATAACTTTTAAACTAAGAGGTATATCCTGATAAAATAAAAACAGTAATAATGCTAAATAACAGGCAATACTGAAAAAATACATAAAATACCCAGAAAATGCCAACAAATAATAAAAAATGAGACTTTTTGAAAAAAATCTGCTTAAAAATTCGTATTTTTTTGGTTATTTGATAAATTTCTCAAAAAAATGCCCCTATAATAGGTAGTTTTTATTACTTTGTATTATTCTCTATCGTATTATCTTTGTAAAACCAAAAATCGCATGTCTCTATCCCTATCACAACATTTGCTATGATCGTTTGAACAAAGGCCTGCCACAACATTATTCTCCGCTACAGGTAGAGACAATTTTAATTTTAACTAAAATGCTTATTTTACTTCGAAATCTTTTGTTTTTATTTAAAATCTAACTTGTCTTTATCAAAATTACAAATCTAGAGCCATTTTCAGTTTCGTTGTTAATGAAGCGTTGAATGGCGCGCCCGGAGAGGCTTAGTTCAAACAATCATTGCAAACGTTGTGATAGGGATAGAGACATGCGATTTTTGGTGTTACGAAGGTAATACGATAGAGAATAATACAAAGTAATAAAAATCACCGGTTATAGGGGCATTTTTTGGAGAAATTTATCAAATAACCAAAAAAACACGAATTTTTTAGCAGATTTTTTTCAAAAAGTATAATTTTTTTTTATTTATTGGCCTTTTTTGTGTATTTTATGTATTTTTTTATTATCGCCTGTTATTTAGCATTATTACTGTTTTTATTTTATCAGGATATACCGCTTAGTTTAAAAGTTATTACGTTTTCTTTACAATAAGTAATTGGAAGAAAAAAAAATCGACAAAAAATTTAAAAAAAATCTCAAAATTTTTTTGACCTCTTTTTTGTCGATAAAAATAGGTCTAGTTTCATCTATTTTCATATGTACACTTTAACGTGACTCACACTGTATACCGTTATTTCTGGATCATCATCAGGTCATTTTGTCTCCACTGCAGGAGCACGACCCTCTCTAATTTAGCAGCAAATGGAAGATTTGGCCAACACTCCCCACGCTAGCCAGACGGGTTGGGGATGTATTCTGGATAAAAAGTAGAATTTTCCAAAGCTTATAGATAAAGATAACGCTCAAATAAATAAGTTTGTGATCTAGTAAAATTAGGTAGATACGCTATCTAATCTACGCAAATAAATAAAATAATATATACTAAAGTCCTTGCCACTTAACAGCTTCAGTCGGTAGGTCAGGGCAGAGC